GTTACTTACAAAATATATCTCATTCTTTTAGTCCCAATCCTTTTTTGAACCTCTCTGAAATCCTCCTTAGGGGGAGACTAGTAGGGTGGAAGAGATATCATCAAGTGATTTAAAAGGCATGCCTAGGCGCATTTTAGGGTAGGCGCCTCGCCCAGGTCCTAAGCACAACCCATTCAAAAGGCGTACGCCTGGTGCGCCTAGGCGTGTGCCTGGTGCGCCTAGACGTGCGCCTTAGCCCAGGCATGCACCTTTTTGAAAATTTGCCGCTTTTTCCTTTTTTCTGAGTCTAGCGGGGGTGGAGCCCCCAGACCCCCGTGCCACGCCCCTCGAGACCAGCCCAAACAAGTGCATGTAGGGTCTTAAATTCTTAGTTTTCACACAAAAAAATAATATATCACATTAGCTATTTGATGCAATTGAGAAAAAAAAGAGATTGTAGGTTTTTTATGCTTGAAAATGTTTTATATGTTTGATTTCATTTTTAAATTCTCATTTGAATATACTTTACATATTATATTTATGTATTTTAATTTTAGATAATAGGTTTTTTAAAACATTTATTCTAAAACTTAAGTTTATATTTTTATTAATATTATGTTTTATAATTTTTTTATTTTTTTGCATTTTTTTTGAATTTTTTGTTWTTTTTGTAATTGTGCGCCTTGCCTCAAAAAGGCACGCGCCTCGCCTTGTGCCTTTTTTGTGCCTTGCGCTTTTAAAACACTGATTTCTTCTGAGGTAAATCCATTTATGCCTCAACCAGTTGTTTGTTCTCCAAACCCTTCACCTTCTCCTCCTGATCCTCCTTATGGTCTCAATTCTACTTCTACTCTTTATCCTAACCGTCTTTGTTTTGTCCACCATGTCCAAACCAAATGTAACTCTTATGGCTCCTACCACTACTCATTCACTTGTACAAGATGGAAGGGCAAATGAGATTGAGATGAGTGTTTACAGAAGAGAAAGAGGGAACTTTATCACCCCTCTATGAGATACACTCCAGCTAAAGGCTAGTATGGATTAAAATATTTCCTTTTGTAAACTAGTTCGTTCATGTACTTTGCATCCCATATCCAGTTGCCTCACACTCTACCTTTCTCCTACCTATTACTCCTTTGTGTCTACTTTGTCCTCTGTTTCCACTCCCACTAGGTACTCAAAAGCCATCTTTGACCCAAAATGGACAAAAGCTATGAATGAAGAAATGAGAGCCTTGTTTTAAAGGATGCAAGTGCATGGGAATTAGTGAATCTACTAAATGGAAAGAAGATTGTGGGATGCAAGTGGGTATACACTATTAAGCATAATGCAAATGAGTCAGTGAAGAAATATAAGGCAAGGTAGGTTGCTAAAGGTTTTATACAAAGTTTATCAAAAAAATAGGTTTTATACAAAGGGAGGGCATTGACTATAAGGAGAAGTTTGCTCTTGTTGCAAAGTTGAATACCATAGAGATTCTTCTCTCATTGGCTGAAAAKTTCTCATGGAAACTCCAATTAGATGTCAAGAACGCATTCCTAAATGGAGATCTTCAAGGAGTTTATATGGACCCTCCTCCCGGATGTGATATTAAAGGAAAGGTGTGCCAACTAAAATGAACCCTATAGGATCTGAAGCAATAACCAAGAGCATGGTTTTAAAGATTGTGCAAGGATATGAAAAATGTGGGATACAAGTAGTTAATGATCACACTCTATTCTACAAGAGGACAATGGTGATCACTAGAGATGAATCAAAAGAGATTCAAAAGTTGAAAGCATTTCTTAGCATCAAAATTTGAGATTAAGGATACTTCCTAGGAATAAAGATTGCAAGATCTAGTGAAGGATATATATTTATCAATGGAAATATGCCTCAAATTTGCTGAATGAGACAGGAAATCTGGAAAGTAGATGATGAACCRTATGCCGCCGATAAGGACAGGTATCAACACTTAGTTGGTAAACTTCTCTCTGTGTCCTTTACCAAACCTGATATCACCTATGTTGTGCATGTTGTAAGCTCMGAGGACCCCCAATTTGGTAATGTTGTTCATTCATTCATCCCAATAAAATGTCTTCTTAAAAAGCAATTAAAACTATAAATTCATTGTTTTTTGTGTGAAAACTAAGAATTTAAGACCTAACGTGGACTTGTTTGGGCTTGCATCGAGGGGCGTGGCATGGGGGTCCGAGAGCAGAGCCCCCAGCCCTGCCACTATGTTCAAAAAATAGCAAAAAACGTCAAATTTTCAAAAGGCACAAGCCTGGGCTGAGGCTTGGTGCGCCTTTTAAAAGGGCTGCGTCTAGGACCTAGGCGAGGCGCATACCTTGAAATGCGCCTTGCCTGTGCGCCTAGGCACACCTTTTAAATCACTATAGGAACCCATACCTAGGTCGAAGATGTCACCTGGTTGGAGGAGCGACTTGCGGCTGGTCGAGGATTGCTGAAAGGGGACGATGATGGACCAATATTATTGTCCATCAACTCCCTACCTTGCCTCGTCACGTGCTTGTTTAAGATGTCATGTGCCTCTACATCAAGATGGCCCATGGACTCTTTTGTAAAGGGCCCAATGGGCTGGCCCAAAACATTAATAGTTAGGCGGGTCCCATTGCCATGTGATTACTAAAGGAAGCATGTGTGGGACTTTGAGGCATGCTTACTCGATTTGAAAACCTGTATCGGTCCACCTCCTGCCTTTCTCCCTCACTGTTCCCCCTACTATTTACGTGTTGAAGCTCACCCACACCTTTGCCTTCAAGTATCCCCTCTGTCACCACCTAAAAAAAGATCTGCCACCTTTCTTTCCTTGACYTATACCTAAACTACTTGAATAGCCGCATACCTCTTTTACTTTCTGATTTTTCAAATTTTGTTTAGCTAAGTTTGTGAAATGCCTCTTGTCTTGCACTCCACGTAAAGCTGCCACCTCCACCTCTTCATCTTCCTCTCTCCACATTTGTGCTTCAATGGACGTTGCCAACCATACAGAGTAGCCTTCTACGACAATTATAACTTTTCTTGGAATATCTTCAGGTTTACCCCACTCAACTTCATGGCAACAGAGTGGAGATCAAAATCAAAGAAACCATCTAGGTGAGCCTCGCAGAAAGAAGCTAGAACCCTGAACATCCTCTTTCCAGAGATGAAATGGCAGACCCAACACTAACGATTATATTATCCTCAACTCCAAAATGTTTTGTGTTGGATAGAAGACACCATTTCAACACTGTAATTATTAATCCATTAAGCTGAAAATTCAAGGCATTAAGAACACCTTCAGCTATAGTCATCTCCAGTAAAGCCTTACGCCTTTCAAAAGAGGTGATGATGACAGAATCCTTCAGTTCCAGACTCCACGAGATTGTTTCTGCAACTTCCCTCCAACTAGATGGAGGCTGTGAAGTTTCAACCACGAACTTCTTCTCCCAGTTCTCCACTCCACCATGAGTTATCACTTTATTCATCCCATCTGTCTTCCCTATTATCAAGATTTCTTCCTCCAAAGTTTCCATTTTGTTACAGATCCTATCAGAATTTACTATATTGTTGTCAGTTCTCTCACATACCTCCAAGCCTGTTGAGGTTTCTATTTGTGCTGCCTTTGACCAGAGCAAGAAATCTCCAAGCAGGCTAGCAACTTCTTGCCATCCTTGGCTCTTCCTTCCTTGCAGGAAGCACACCAACTGCTTCTTACCTTGACCAAAATATTCATACAGTGCAGTGAATGATCCTTTGGTGTTCTGCCTGCATTCTAGCACCATACCTTTTTCCCCTGTCTGATCCAAACTCTTTCCAGATAGGTGGCTTACCTTTAGAGCTTGCCTCAAGGACAAAATCCCTAAGCCATTCAGTCACACCAGGGCCTCCATCAGCACCATAGCCTTCTTTGCCTCCCTAATCTTCAGACTCGGTATCCCTCTGATCCTCATTTCTTCAAACAGGAACTCCTTAGCTTCAACTTTCAGTGCTCTCTTCCATCTAGCTGCCTCCATGAAAGCCTCCATCCGATAACTCATTCAAAGCCCCTCACAATTCAACATATAGCTCATGGTGTTGTTAAATTCACATGGATAAGAATTCTTCTAAGKAAGTTGGAAATCCAAATTGATGGGCCATTGAGGTTGTATTGTGATAATCAAGCTACCATCAACATAACAAACAACCCTGTCCAGCATGATAGAACCAAAAACATGATAGACACTTTTTTTCAAGAAACAATAATCTCAAGAGATCCACAGATTCCTTCCTTGCCCCTGGAAAACAACTAGCAGATGCTTTTACTGAGGGGCTGCCAAGGAAAAGATTTCATGAATTTTTGGGCAAGTTGAGCATGATGGTGGAGGGGGAGCATTATAAGGCTTAGAGCCATCAGACCGGGCCTCTTATTTTATTAGTTCTCTTATTATGTTATTGGGTTTTCTGGGCCTAGGATTATATGTTTTAAATCTTTCTTTTATACCCACCGAATGAGGGGCATTTCCGTGCTTGTGACATTTCTTTTAACAAAATTTTAAATAGGGTAAATTACAAAGACCCCCCCTGTATTATGGGGTCTGTGACAAAGACCCCCCTGTACTTTGTTTTGCAACAAAGACCTCCCTATACTATGACTGTGAGACAAAAACCCCCTTCCGTTAACTTTTCATTGAAATTTGC